CCTTCCTCAATATTGTTTGGACGTAAGAAGAAATTTGACACACCATTCAATCCCAATAACACTCACCAGATCCTCTAGGCTTAGATGAGATTCATAGGATCAATTTCAATCGAATCATGTGATCAAGATCATAACGTGTCACTTTATAAACTCTAAAGGTTGAATTTCGCGTAACCATGGTACGACAGAATTCCAATCTTGGAGAACTTGGAGAACATTCAGACAATAGCACCATGATGGTCTTCAGGCCTAGTCTTCAAACTTTGCCCCAGAAAACAAGTATCAGTCCCATCTTTAAACATGCCCGGATGAAAACCACTAAACCAGGGCCCATCACAAACTGAGGAATCATCTACACGAGGTTACGTTCTTAATCTTAAAATAACTGTATAAGTAGATGTGACAAATGAGTGAATTGGGTTGGGTTAAATTGAATTGGACTAAAATAAATTCAATTCATTTTTCACTAGCGTAATAAATGAGTTATAATAAATTGGATTTATACCGGGTTGGATTAACCTGATTAAAAATTCTTAATAGATACATTAGTACACCAAAACACACACACACACCAATAGTACACCAAAATACAAACATACACACACCAACTAATACACCAAAACACAAATTAATACACAAAATATACACACTAATACACCAAAAATAAACACACATACCCATTTATAATTCATATTAACCCCCTTAATTATAATGAATCATATTACCCAACTCATTTAAAACTTATATTAATTAATATAAGTACTCTACCCATTTATTTATGGACGGGTTGAAAAATTAATAGATAATGGGTTAAGATTGCCACCTCTATGCACAAGACAACCTGATTCTTATTAACATTTTGTCATCTATTTTGGCCAATTATGTTATTTTCTTTTCTTATTATTTGCCAGATATTTGTCAAATTTTAATACACCCACAATTTTTACCCTATTTTTTCCACCATATACCTAAAGCAATTTGATTTGAGATTCTTCTGCCTTCAAGGAAGATTGCTAGTGTTACTTCACCCCAGGAGACATTAGCAATTCCCTAATTAATATTCAATACAATTATATTTATACTATCATAAGAGTTTTGAGAAACCAACTTCGTCTCGTGAACCAAATATTAAATAAAACATTCAAATATTCTTTAATACCAACAATTAGAGTGAATAAACAAGTGTTCATGCATAAATACTGTTTGAAAATTATAAGGCACATTAATTTATCAAGTAAGCAGAAAAAAAAAATTTAGATTTAGATTACCAGAAAAAAAAATAATCAATACGATTTAGTGGGTCAACTGTAACAGCATCCCACCGCGGCGGGGCAAGCTGCAATGGCATTAGGTTTTAACACCATTGATTCTGTGGAGTTGTTCAACACCTATTCCTTAACCTAGGCATATAGGTAACTTACTAGCCTCATCACCTATGGGGGGCCTAAATTGTCTCGGATCTCATTCGTGTAAAAAGGGAGTTTTTCCTTAGTAATGCAGAACCATCCCAAGCCCGTGTCCTTTGGATTCGTGCCTACAACAAAACTCGTGCTCCGAGTAAACCAATGAAACAAGTGGTTTGTTAATGCACCAAAACCTAATATTTGACCTTAAAGGATTGTAAACAAGTCAAAGGACAAAAAAGGCACCTCATATAAATATTCCTCAAACGAAATTAGTTTCCAAGCAGAGATGTCAGTAAAGCTAAAACAGCAATCAAAATCATGATATTAAGGAAGTAATTTGATTGGAGAGGCTTATCTGGGCTTCCCCCAACTGCTTCGTACTCTGCTCTAATCTTCTGCTTCATAGTGTCTGACAGCTCTCTCTGCAATTCAAATAGGCAACACTCGTTGAATTTATACCTCTTCTTCACTTAGACTTCCAATTTTTAGATTTGTGTTCACAGGATTTGATAATAGCTTCATCTTGTGTTATTTAACGAAACCGCATAAGAAAACAAATACTTGTATCTTAATCCTGCAGCAACCATAACAATAAAAGATATAAACATTCCACGTAAGTTTCCTTCATAAGAGATTTATATGCAAGAAATGCAAGCGATCTTGGAGAAAGATCAACTCTAAACATATAAGATATAAGTCATTTATGATTCCAACCTTTCCAGATGAGTACTTGGCTGCCACAAACTTCTCTGGTTGAACGGTTGTTGGACTACTGTCTATTGAGAATCCCTGATCAGAAAATCCCATAAACCTTATCAAGTTTATTCCCCAAGTTTCATATTTGCCTTATTAGATTATAACAAATACAGATACAATATAAAAGTCAAAAGAAAACATGCACGACACTCACTGATGTAGATGGTTAAATGAACCCAAGATAGTAACCAAAAAACAAAGAATACAACGAAAAAGGCCCCAATAGCAAACAAGAAGTAATGAATTCGATTTTATAGATCTAAAACAAATTCAAACTTCAGAAGTTACTTGGAAATGACTAGTTTGAGGGATTGGGAAGCAATAGAGATGAAAACAATATCTGATCGAATAACAATTAACAAGTTCGGAATTCATTTGTGAAATAAAGGTCAGCAGAAGGATTTGAACTTAGTGGAGGTGTCAAATTTTTTTTTCGTTGGGGGGGTTAATATAGACGTTTTCGATTTGTCTCAAAAAATATCCAATATTTCAATATATTATGAACCATATACACGAGATCAAAAGTGTTAATATATGCTAATAGAAAAATAATTTTCTTCAGGATCATGAACTAATTTTACTTAGAAATCAGTAATTGTGGGAGGGTATTCCAGCTCTTCCGATGCTGTTATCCAAAATAAGAAATCTAAGTGAAAAGATAACGACTGAGGCTAACAAACCTCAGGAGGATCAAATTTGGCTCCAAGGTTGCTGAGTTTGGCATGGGCTTCAGCGTAATCTTTAAAAAATGCATCCTGATCTTCAGCATATTTCTCAGCATATTCCTGCAAGTAAACAAATTCTAATAACCCAACAAAGATGCTGTTACTCGCAATAAAACCTCTCTTAAAGTTGCACTTCACTCTGTTTCACCTTAAATGATGGATCTTCAAAAAGAACAGCATCTGTTGGCAAAACCAGTAGATCTTCATCCTTTCTTTGTTTGATATCCTGTAACAATCAAATGCAATAATCTCTCAGCATCGGTCAATTTCTAAATAAGCAAAAGAATTACTATCAGTTCACACCTTAAAGTAGGAATTATCAAACTTTAGCCACTGCACTGTCCAAGATTGTCCTCCAGGGGCTCCCGGGCCATCTTTCTGTCATACACAAAAATAGAAGTTAATCCCCAAATGATTATCAGGGCAAATTACTTACAGCAAAGGCTAATGACAACAATACATCATTGGTTTCATACAAATTGACGTGCACAAAAGAAGAGTAGGGAACAAACAGAAAGAGAGCAAAATAAGTGCATTCTGTAGCCAATCACCCATGGATGATGCAGGTTGTGGATGTTTTGTTGTCAATGTCATCCTTGGTTTTTTTTCCGAAAAGAAACTACTTTTTATTAATAATTGAAGGAAAATTAACAAGAAAACCAAATCAAGCGTGGACAAGAAGTCCAACACAAAGAAAGACCTTATAAAATCAATCAAAACTACAAGCCAAATGATGCTTTCAAACTTGTCCAAATACAAAAGAGAGGAATATCTTCAAACACCTTAAACATTCAGGCCCAAAAAGAGGCCAAAAGGTGAAGTCTATCCCATAGTCCCTCTAACTCTTCCCATTTTTCTTCAAAAATCCTTACATTTCTTTTTTTCCAAATCACCCATAAAGTAGCAAAGAAAGCACTATGTCATATGACCTTCCATTTACTATTTCCCCAAATCGTCACGTCATCCAAATAAAATATAGTTTTCATAGTGTTTATTCCGTAATGCTCCCGCCAAAGGGTAATGCAAAAACAAATGGTCAACACTCTCACCAAAACCTTGGTTCAGTGGTTAAAAATCTGCCCAACAACCTTGAGCTGATGGTTGAACCTAAGAGCAGCCACTTTGTACAACTAATACCAATGGTTAGGTTTGTTCTCCCTCTGCACCTCCCACAGCACCATTAACGGGGACTAAACTGTGGCTTTTTTTTCATCCTTCTTTTTAAGAGCTATTGGTGTTCAAAGTGATAAATTACTCTCACATTCTCGAAACACTGCTCTAATCGAACTAATTTTAGAGTAACTATGGATTCCAGCATTAACAAAAAAAAAAAACTGAAATTTGTGCCTTGCCGTACCGGGTGATATGTAACTGCATAATAGGTGGAAGACTCAAACAATTCCAAAAACTTTGAAATATTTTGAGAACTAGATAAACATATATACAAAACTGTAGTACATTACACTGTCGATAATGTACACCAATTCACTTGGACTGTCCACGTTTCACTTGTGCATATTTATTAAGAAAGTAATTTAGGAGTAAGGATCATATTGAAAATTTTATAAGTAAACAGGGGTTTAAAAAAGGGGATTACATATGTTTAGGTAACTAATGTTGTTTCTACATAGTCAAGGTTAGATTTTAGTATTGAAGATTAAAGGAAAAAGAAGTGCAGGTGCTTATTAGAGAACTCCTAGAAAAATAAGAAATCAAAATTAGATCTATCGCCCACTGACTCTGCTAGTTGCAGGTGCCAACAATTTCAGGAAACAAACCTTCTCACCTCTCATGAAATCCAGCAGCTGTGACGGAGCCACAATTTATATAACACATAGCAACCTTAGTCATGTCTCACTTCCTCCCTTTGTTCCTTTCTTGGTTTCCTCTTACTGTGTGCACCCACAAGGAAAAGGTTGCCTTAGTCAATGTCTTGCCTTACGAGGCAAGATGATCGACACATCTTGCAAGACAAGTCATCTAGAGGGATACAACCAAGATCTCATAAACGATGCAACCCAACAATGTCGACTTCAGGTATTTACGAAGCAGGCCCAGATATCATTCCAATAATGGTTACATTCATTCCAGGATGGCTAATACATCTTGGTATCGATGAAACTTTGAAAAATGCATCCAATTTCTGAGATATAACTACACAACTAACCATTTGCGTTGTTTGTTTGACATAGATGACATAAGCTCTTGCAGTTCTGTGACTTTGCATATTGTGGTTGTAGCTTTTTTGAATATTTGTTACAGTTGTTCATTATTCCAATCTCAAAGACTAAAAAACCTACAAGACATCTGGGACACAAGGGGGAGGAGTACTTCTGCAATTCATATACTGCTTCTCCATTCCTTGCACAAGATGAAATTTTAAAAAGCTAAAATACTTTAGGAAATGGACTGAGGCAGTCCAAGAACCTTGGTTACCTTCAGGTAAAATGTAATTACCAAAGTTCACTCGTCCAAACATCATCCCAGAAAGCAGGGATGAGACGGAATAGTTTGCCATTTCAGAACTGTTCATAAGAGCGCTCTTGACTAAAAGGAGCGAAAAACTCTTGAGAATTGGGCCGAAGGCATCACAAGATAGAGAGGAGCCATCTAGACTAATTTGAGATACATGTTATTGAAAGGTGTTGTCAGCCGCATGGAAAACTGAACCAAGGTCAGGATTGGATGTCCTTGTCACGGACATCCTTAAATGAATCCCAACTCTTATAAGAACATCCTTGTGAAAGAAAACAACTCAAAGGAGTCTTCCCATTCAAGCACTACTTGTAGCTCCTATCCCTACAAGGCTACAACTACTAAACACTATGAAAGTCATATAACTAGTCCATAGCTAGAAAACGTTCTCCTCCTATACTCTATTAAATAGAAAGTAGCTAGAAAAGCCATACAACATTACAACTATCTTAGCAGATTAAATGGGCATTTTCATAAATGGAACCTGTGGATTCCCCGCAGATTTTGATGTTCAGTCACAGTAAAAAAATTTCTTAATTAGCAGAAGAGGCGAGAAATTGATGGGTCTCAACCTTGGCAGGTTCAAAGGAGTATAAGAGAATGCATCACTCCAATTGAAAATGGTCGAATATACGAGTAACAAATAATATGACACCTAAAACAGATTCCTCTTACCCAACCAGTACTGATGTCTTAATTACTTCCAACTCAGGGCACTCCATAAGAAATGATTGTCTGATTCACATTTAAAAAGAAACCAAACTGATTAAGTACCGTGTATTTTGTCTCTGGCTTGCCCCATCCACTGCGATCTGGTCTGGACCTGCCTAATGTGTGTGCACCAGATAGTGCAACAATTTCCTGAAAACCAAACAGCTATATAGTGAGCATAAGACACAATTTATAATGACATCTATAGATCAAATGATCAGCGTGGTAATCCTAACCTTGTCATTCAATCCCATCCGGTAGAACACGTCACGTAAATGAGCAGCAGGTGAAGGGGGACCCGCAGCTAATCAATTACACGAAGAGTTCAAAACTTAGTTGCTAATCAGGAGCAGGTATAGATTTACAACTACAATTAGCTAGAACAAAAATTGATCCACTAGGATCGGAAGAATCAAAACAAAGAGGAAGGCCATCTAAAATGTACGACATAGTATGCTCAAATAAAAAAACAATTCCAATAAAATGTATAAAATAGCAGACATAACGTACTTGGCTGTGAAGAAATAAAGAAAACACCACATGCATTGAGGTTTTGGCCAAGACAGCTCACTAAACTCAACTGTTCCTAAGGTACCATGTGCCCATAAGTTCTATTGAAATCCTTTGGTTGGTGACCACAAAAAGTGCAAAAATACTTTTCTGAGAGTATTGTCCACACGCAAAAGGAGGCATTATAGCACAAATTAGCAATCACGTATCCAACAAGTAAGATTAATCAAAGTTAACTATGTTTTGTACAGAAGCCTGGCCCGTTTCTCAAAGATGAGATGAGACCAAGGTTCCCCAATCTATCCATGGATGTGCTTTCAACGTGCCCATTGGAGTGTCTCGAGATCAATCAGGTATAATCCACTAATTCAATCTTAAGCATGCGCAAATTTAGAATAAAGTGACCGCTTGTATTAGAGGCATGAGTGCGCAGCACACAGCTGAACAACGCTGGCGCTGAATATTGCAGTAAAAAAGACAGAAGTGTGGTTCAAACAAATCAAACTAGCATCCGTATTGACAACATAAAAACAGAAACCTTATTGCTAGACCCCCAAGCCATGGTGGACTTTCAAGCCCTATTGTATTCCATTATAGAGAACCCCTGTAAGTTTATAACAATATTAAACCATACTTCAGGATTTATTAGTCAAAGAAAGAAACTAGTATTTATATGTATGTGCAAATAAACTACCTCTAGGGGCACTCTCTGTCTTATTAATTTTAGAACTCGCCCCTCACCAGTCACCTCTTTCTGTGTGTACTGGGGACTCCAGAAGAATTAAGTGAGTTCTTTCTATTTTTTGGGTAAGTAAACATGAATGTCTCTGTAGATAACCCACAAAGATCAAACTTATTTGCCACTATCAAATGTCATTTCAAATTCTTTATCCATGGGAATGATTGTTTGATTTAACCAATTCTCAAATGTTTCCCCTCATTGGTAATGTTGGTGCCAAAGCACAAGATGTGCTACATCAAACAATCACACATAATGTATGCATCGTTGCAAAAGATATCTTACAAGGGAGTCTCCCTTCTTCTGGGCATTGCTCAGGTCCAGAAACATCAACTCGTCCATACTTCATAGGTATTTTGGGGCCCCCAGCCTCCTGTAACATCCAAGCAATGGATCAATCATATGACTCGTATCAATATCTGAATAAGTTTTCTCGTTTCTCATAACATCACAGTACAAAGAATGACCTCCACAGCTGTAGCACTTGCCAACTGGAACAAGTCTGCGTAAGTCACGTCAGAGTATTTTTCTTTGATGGGCTGGATCAGTTTAAGCGCATTTACAAGCCCTGTAATGCCAGCTAGTAAGGCACTAGTTTTATCCACTTAGCAACATAAAAATGATGTTAGTATAGAGACTCACCAGCATTTGCTGCATGTTTCAGTTCAATTTCAAATCTTAAACTTCCATTAGCTCCACCTCTTTGTGGCCATTCCTCGATGTTCTTGTTATAAGTACCAGCATCATGCCAGCCTAGACGAACCTGTTCTCATATGGACTATTAAGACTGTATTTCCCATATTTCAATGAAATCTTTATAAGTCTCCATGTCAATATCCGTAAACTAACACCTCTACAGATAGATTAATAGAAAAACATCCTTTATTAGTTAATATGAAAATATCACTCTGAAAACAAATTCATAGCAAATGGTATTAAACCCTAGACCACTGGACAAAGTAAGGCACATAGGTGTGTGGCTCAAACATGAAGTGTCTGAAAGAGAAGCCTCAAAAAACAGATCATAATGTAACTATACAAACTATGTTTTGATGTATGACCTAAGTATGTGTAGCGACACATCTTGAGTGCTTGTTTTTCTTTATTTTTTGTTTTGTCACACCGGGGATGGGGAGGTGTAATTGTATAATTAGCAAAAAATACCTTATTAGAAACACAATTTCTTTTTCAGTAAGAGTTATCAGGAGATGTGGGTAAGGAAATGCTGATAAACTTAAAGAATAAACAAACAGTGGCAGAAATGTGTAGATAAAAACTGCATTATTTGAAAGCATGGGATTGAATAACCAGAATATTTGCAAAGTAACCGTTATATCTATATTTTCTAAGTGGGCTGCCAGCCATTTGGCATACCATTTGGATTCATATTGTATGCTATACATGCATATATACAGGCACACATCCAAAATCACATTATGTTTTCTCTTCCTCCAGTTTCTTTGCAACCAAAGGGAGGCTAGAATTGCATTTTGACTGAGAATATCAACATCAGTAACCATATATTATTAAAAGCGCTGAAATTAGAAGCGTATAAAAACAATCATATCAATTACATTCCAGCCTATGTTGTATTATTCCAAAAAAAAAAAATAGGCAAATGTCTACAGGCATACCGAAATAAGCGAACAAAGAAGAGATAATTACCAAAATCGGATGACAGAAGGTAGCTTTTAGAATCTCTTTGATGTCTTCTCTGGCACTCTTCAACTGATCAGGATCGGACACGAAGCATTTCGGAGAAGCCACTGTGCTAAAATTGCCGACCGACAGGTAAGCCGACGATCTCTTCTGAAATTAGCAAGCAATAAGAACACTAAAGCAGTAAAAAATCACGCACACACATTATACATAAGAGAGAGAGAGAGAGTGGACCTGGTGGAGGAAGAGAGGAGAGAGAAGAGGAGATGATCGGAGGCATTTTAGAGAAGAGGGAGATGAGACAGAGGGGAAAGAGAGTCTGGCAGCTTTGGCTGTGGCAGGAAAGAGGCGAGCGGCGGCGGCGCGGACAGAAGCCATTGAGGAGGCGGAGGGCGATGAGGTTAGGTTGAGACGCTCGGCCATTACCAATAAGTAGAACAGTGTGGTTTAGTTAGCCAAAGATAGAATCCACGTACGTATATATTCGGGGGCCGTGTTTGGTGATGGGATTGATATTATATTTTAGTGGCTGTTTGTGTCTCTACCTAATCTCAAAGAGAGATTTACATGTGGACTGGATGAGGCTTGTTTTGTTGTGTAGTGTACTGCACTAGGCTCGTGAGAATTCATAATACAATTTTATTAATGGGTATGAAATTGTTATTAAATTTTGAATTATAATTAGATCCATCTTGCCTCAAAATTATTACAGTCTATAACCAAATTTCGAGTTATCACATGTGAAGTTAAGGCATCATTGGTTTGACATAAAAAAATTAATAATGTTTGTAATTAAAAGTCCAAACTAAAATCAACCAAATTCTCAAATTAAATTGGATTGAACCTAAATTTATAAGCCACAAAAATTAAAGCCCAATTCATTAATATGGAACTAAGTTGGATTAGGCTTGAAATGTCATAGGCCCAAACAAATAAAGCTCATAATAAATATAAATGAAAATTGGGGCAAAACTCTCCTTAAGAGATTTATAATGAGTTTAGTTTATTAAAGAAATTTATTTGGGGACAAGTTTATTTTTAATCTTACTAATCAGTAGTTAAGTTCATTATTTTTCTTGAAACTCCAAATGGATTCATATGGACTCCATATGGATTCATATACACTATTAATTCCAGATGGATTCATATGGACTCGTCGAAAAAGATTATTTATTTTTCGTTTAAATGTATACTATTTTTGTTTTTGAATCTTACTATTTTTTATTTTGTTTAAATATTTTTTGTTTGTTATTGAATGTTTATATATTGTTTTAAATGTCATTGTTTTCGATTTTGAATGTTACTATTTTTTGGTTTTTGAATGTTACTATTTTTTTGTTTTTGAATATTCTATATTACTTGATGGTACCTAGAAAATACCCAAGGTTTAGCTCGGTTATCCAGCCTAGCCCTGCAAGTCGGGAGCCCAATCTCATTGAGGCCTTACCCTTTACCTCCACACCTCAGGGAAGGCGAAGTGGAGAACATCTGGCACTCACCAAGCACGCCCTCGGTGGCAGTAGACGCTTATCCAGGCTCCAAATCCGCAACTGCCCCCGTATACCCCGGAACCGTTGCACAATCCAAGTGGCCGTTACGAGAAAGAGGAAAGAATCATGCCTTAGATCTAGCTAGGCCCAGAATTACCTATAAATATTAAACAAAGCCCTTGACTAGAGGCAAGAAATAAAAAAGTTTTGCCAAAATATTGTGTAATAACCCCTCTTTTGGTTAATATATTCTTCTGAACTAAGAGACTCCATTAAAGAGTGGATTAGTCAAGTTTCCGAGTTGATAAACTACTATATTTTTTCTGTGTGAACTGATCCCTTTCCCAAAAATCCTGTTCCTAAGAGTCTAGAAGCTCAGACTAAGCACTCCAGTACACTTAGCATTCTCTATTTTGCTCGATCGTGTTTCGTACATCATCAGTTGGCGTCGTTTGTGGGAACGATTGTTCCTATTACAAATATACTAATTTTCTTCCGTAATTGTGGTTTCTATGCGCAACATGAGCAGAAATCAGATGAATCCCCCATAATTATAGAACCAACAGGAAGTCACCAGTGGAAGACAACAGAAAAATCTTTGTGATTTTTTGCCCACCACTGAAACCGATCCTCCCATGGTGGATCCCCCTCCAAATAATGGGCTTGAGGCTCTTTGTCTAGTTAACCAGCATCTCTTTCAACAAAATGAAGAGCTGGTGAATCTCTGCCAGAGTCCCGAAAAGGCGTAACCAGCCCAGGACGATCTCCCACCGGGGGAACTTCAACGCATCAACCCCCTAAGGAAGGTCACTAAAGGGGGATGAATGTAGCCAAACTATGGGCAATGCCCATTGAGCCCCCAAGAACGCAGACTACGAGGAAGTGCACAGCCAGAATAGAGGATTCATAAAAAAGAACTCCCCTCATTTTAGTAAGAGAGAAAGGAACAATACTGGGAGCAACGCTTCAAGGATATTCAGCAAGAGCTCGACCATATAAAGGAGGATATAAGAGGCAAGACTCTAGTAGCCATGGATACCTTAGTGCAGCAAAATGAATCTTATTTTACAACTAAAGTATTACATTTTCCCTTCCCACCAAAATTCAAAGTGCCCCAACTGGAGGCCTTCGATGGGACAAAGGATCCCATGGACCACCTCAACATATATAAAAATCAAATGGAGTTTCATGGATATCAAGATCTAGTGCGATGGCGGGCCTTCGCCATCATGTTGAAGGGTTCAACCTTAGCATGGTTCAACAGACTGACCTCAGCATCCATCTCATCCTTCAGAGAACTCTCAATACTCTTTGTTTCACACTTCATAGGAGCTCGAACTTATCAAAAGTCGAGCTACCATTTACTGAATGTGAAGCAAGGACCCAATCCAAGTACCTGATGTTCTCCATATCCAAAAACTGGCAAGCTATTATGGCAGAAGTCCTTGCCAAGGCAGAGAAATATATCAACGACGAGGAAGCTCTCCTTTCCAAGACATGGAGCTTATCTGCGCACAAGGAGAAGGAGAAAAGAAGGACTGGAGTCCTAAAAATGAAAGAAGTCGAGACAGATCTCCACGAAGAGACAAGGACCACTCTCTAAAAAAGAGAAGATACATCAGAGACCATTAGGTTCCCCACCACAAGAGTTGCAACTAAGGTTTGCACCCCGGCGATTCACTCCCCTCACAACCACAGTGTCCTAGGTCCTTTATGAGGTGCATTATGAAAAAATTTTAAGGTGGCCACCTCGGATGAGGGCAGATCCTACAAAGAGGGATGCAACAAAATACTATAAGTACCACAGAGATCATGGTCACCTCACCGATGATTGCATCTAGCTAAAAAATAGATCGAGTTCCTAATTCAGTGGAGGCAATTACGTCATTTTGTGGCACAAGATAACCAAAACAAAACTCTCCCACCTCTAGCACCTCAACAGCAAATTCCTGCGCAACATCAGCAACCCCTGGGAGAGATTAGTGTGATATCTAGAGGATTTGCTGGAGGAAGGGAGTCCAGCCCAGCTAGGAAAGTTCACATGCGCAAGGTCAAAATTGAAGAAATACTCGAGATGCAAACTGTGACCAAAACACCTTGGCTAAGCATGGACATTACCTTTTTAGACTCAGATTTAGGGGGTTTCCAGCATCCCCACGATGATCCCTTGATGGTGAGGGCCATCATCATAAACAAAATCGTCCATCGGGTTCTGATTGATAACGAAAGCTCTGTTGATATCATCTTCGTGTTTGCCTTCAATAAGATGGATATAGGCAGAGACAAGCTTGAACCGATATGGAATCACCTCCTGGAATTCTTAGGGAGAAATGTACTACCCCTGGGGTCAATACAACTTGTTCTCACCTTAGGAGATCCACCTTGCCAGTCCACCACCATAGTAAGAGTCCTAGTGGTCGACGCCCCTTAGCATACAATGTTTTGCTAGGAAGGCCTTCACTCAACACTATGAGGGCCATCCCTTCTGCCTACCATCTCATCGTAAAATTCCCCAACGAGTAGCATGGGAATGCTACATGGCGTCAATGAAGAGAAAAGAAATCGAGGTTATCCAGTTAGACAAGCTCAACATGAGAGACAAGCTAGAAATGAGACTCATACCCTTTATAAGAGTTAGAACTAGTCCAGGTTGATGAGGAATCAGGACACTTAGCATATGTGGGATCAACACTGCACAAAGAGGTCAAAAACCTCATTTTTCAATTCCTCAAAAAGAATATAGAGGTATTTGCATGGAAATAGGAGGGTATGCAAAAGGATAGACCCCTCAGTCATCACGCACAAGCTCAATGTGAAACCAACCTTCAAGCCCATCAAACAGAAATGGAGGAGTTTTGTCCCTAAACGCCAAAAATCAATCAATGAGGAAGTCAATAAACTTCTCCACGCCAAAGCCATCAGGGAAGTGAACTATCTGATTTGGTTAACCAATGTGGTCCTTGTCAAGAAGTCAAATGACAAGTGGTGCCTCTGCATTGACTTCACTGACTTGAATCGCGTGTGCCCCAAGGACAACTTTCCCTTACCTCGAATCGACCTAATAGTAGATGCTACAGCAGGACATGAGCTCCTCAGCTTTATGGATGTTTTTTCAGGGTACAACCAGATTAGAATGGATCCTAATGATCAAGAGAAGACATCTTTCATGACCAATCAAGAGACATACTGCTACCAAGTCATGCCATTTGGGTTAAAAAATGTCGGAGCTACATACCAGTGTCTGGTAAACCGAACGTTCCAGAATCAAATCAGGACATCAATGGAGGTATACATTGATGACATGCTATTAAAGTCTCTAAGGGCTGAGCTACACATCAAACACCTTAAAGAATCTTTCCAAATCCTCAAGAATTGCCAAATGAAACTCAATCCAGCTAAATGCGACTTTGGGGTCTCTGCTAGAAAATTCCTGGGTTTCATAGTTAGCAGTAGAGGCATAAAGACAAACCTAGAGAAGGTCAGGGCAATGATAGACATGCAACCTCCCTCAAACATAAAGGAAGTCCAACACCTGACTAGAAGGATAGTAGTCTTGAGTTGCTTTGTCTCCAGGTCAAGCGACAAGTGTCAGGCATTCTTTCAGATCCTAAAAAAAGTTTTTCAATGGGATACATAGTGCGAGGAAGCATTTAGAGCCCTCAAAAGTTACCTCAGCACACCCTCAATCCTAGTGAGCCCTAGGGAAGGAGAAGTGTTCTCCTTATATCTCATTGTTTTTTATTTCTCAACCAGTTCAGCACTAGTCATAGAATAAGATAGAGCTCAACAACTAGTCTACTATTGTAGCAGAGCTCTGAGGGGGGCAGAGGAAAGATATTCGAAAATGGAATAACTGGTCTTAGCTCTAGTCACAGCAGTAAGAAGGATCAGACAATATTTCCAAGCTCATACCATTGAAATCCCTATAGACCAACCAATGAGGCAGGTGTTACACAAACCAGAGTCCTCAAGAAGGTTGTGGGTAATAGAGCTCACCGAGTTTGATATCA